GGACACTGATGATTCTTATTTTGTTCCTCTTGAATTCATCCCAGAGTTCTCTTGTCTGCTCTTCATTTATTTTGAGTACTTTTTCCAGCTTTGGAAATTCTTTGGAGTTTTTCTACATTTCATCTTGGAGTTCACTGATTTTGTTCTCAGCTACTTGGGCTGGAGCGATAGCATAGCAGGTAGGGCGTTTGCCTTGCAAGCGGCCAACATGGCCGACCCGAGTTTGATTCTTCCGTCCCTCTCAGAGAGCTGGCAAGCTACCGAGAGTATCTTGCCCGCAGGGCAAAGCCTGGCAAGCTACCCATGACGTATTCAGTATGCCAAACACAGTAACAGCAAGTCTCATGATGGAGACATTACTGGGCCCGCTGGAGAAAATCGATGAACAATGGGAGGACCGTGACCGTGACCGGTCTCCGCTACTATTCTCTGCTACTGAGGCCTTCCAGTGAGTTTTTCATTTCACCTACCAGATTCTTTAGTTTGGTCATTTCTGCTTGTAGTTTTCTAATTTCTACTCTCATATCCTCTTGTGTTAACTGGTTGATTATTTCATTGTTCCTTTGAGCTACTTAAACACCCTCAACATTTCTTCTCTAAGGTCCTCATCAGAGAGGTCATATAACTAATTATTACTGTTTGAGCTTTCATGACTTCCATCTTCAGCGACTAAGTATGGTTGCGTCCAGAGTTGCTTTTGCATCATGCCTTTTGCACCCTGGAGATCAGTTTTTTTAAAAAATTTTTATTAGTGAAACACCATGAGGTACAGTTGTAGACTTACAAATTTTTGTGCTTGGGGTTCAGTTATGTGTGTTGTTGTGTGGAAGAGCATCTGGAGATAGAGTGTCAGTTCCTCCTCTCTATAAGATATGATGAAGTGAAGTAATCTGCATCCACATTAGCAGCAATGTGCTTCAGGGCCTCCTAACTGACCGAGGGGCAAAATGGTGCAGTTCTGAGTGTAGCTTCCTAGCTGTGTTTCTCCGTTTTTGTTCTTAAAAAATAGGTCACTCTCACCATTGCAAGATAGTATTTTATTGGAAATTTTATTTATGTTTTCTTAAGTGATACTGAGAATTTTTTTTTCACTTGCTTATGAGCCATTTGTGTTGGAGAACTATCTATTTAGATCTTTTGTCTATTTTTTAATTGGATTGCTTGATTTTTGTTGTTGTTGTTTCATCAGTTCTTTATATATTTTGATTCTCAGTATTTTGTCAAGTATATAATGTACTAATAACTTATTCCAGTTGCTAGATTGCCTTTATGTTTTGTAGTTCTTTCACTGTTAAAATTTAATTTGGTTTATTATACCATTTTTTTCCTCTGGCTTTTTTTTTCCTTTGCCAATGGAGTTGAGTCTCCAGATAATCTATTGTTGATGTCCTGGACTATGTCACTTGAACTTTTATATGTTTTTTTTTTTATTTGACAACTAATATTCAATTGTTTTTATCTATTTTGTGTGCTTTTTTTGTGTGTATGATATTCAGAGGTGACTTACTTTCATTTATTTGCATGTGACAGTCTAGTTTTCTAAATACTGTGTCTTGAAAAGACTTTCTTTTCCCCATTGTATGGTTTTTGCACTGTTTTGAAGAATGCAAATATGCATCTACGTGTGTGGATTTATTTCTTTACTCTCTTATTCCAGTAGTTGTGTGCCTCTTTGTGTTTCAGTGCCATACTATTTTAATTACTATTGCTTTGTCTTGTAGTTTCAAGTCAGGGGATGTGATGCCTCCCTTTCCTTCTTTCTTTTCTGTTTCTTTGACTCTTCAGGATCAATATGTGGTTTCATATGAACTTTGAGTTGCTCTGTTACTTTAAAAATATCATTGGGTTTTTGATAAAGAACACATTGAATCTGTAGATAAGTTGGTCATCTTCATAATGCTTATTTTTTCAATTCAGGCAAGATATCTTCTTATTTCTGTCCATTTCAGTTTTTTAATGTTGTGGCTTTAGAATATAAAGTTTTTTACTTCATTTGTCAGGTTTTCTCCCAGATATTTTATATTTTTGGTGCAGTTGTAAATGGGATTATTTCCGGGGCTATGGTGCCGCCAGCAGGTTTATCTGTACCTGTGAGGCGAGTGCATCAGCAGCCTGATGGCGCCTTCAGACTTCCAGATACCCCAAAATTGCTGCTGCGCCTTTGGCCAGACCCCAAAAACTTGGGGAAAAGTTTACGAAGAAAGTAAATGGCCAAAAGTTAGGTATGTGGGAAATACACCCACAAACCACCTAAGGCTCAGCTATATACTTGGAGGCATGGCCTCTCTGGTTCCTGATTGAACTGCTTAAAGGCCATGATCCCAGAGACTCAGAAACAAATCTTGAAACCCAACGGCTTTTGGCAGAAATGCGTCTGGTCCCTGCAGTAGGTCACCGGTGCTGGGCCAACCCAGGTGGGAATAGGTTTTGTGCCTTGGCCTGTTCCTCCTGGCGGCCCAGTGGTCGCCATCCTTTAGAGGCCACTGGACAGTCAGGTTTGGGCCCCCAGTGATGAGACACGCAGGGCCTCATGGGATGGGGGTGGAGCCGGTCCTGTCCTCCCCACCCCAACGAGACCCCAAGTCATCACCCACGAACAGCCTCTCTGGCTCCTGATCAAGCTGCTTAACAGCCATGATCCCAGAGACTCAGAAACAAATCTCAAAACCCAGCGATTTTTGGCAGAAATATGTCCGGACCACACACTAGGTTACTGTCACCGGGCCACCCCAGGGGGGAAGGGGTGCTGTCCCTCTGCCTGCTTCCCCCTGGCGGCTCGGTGGCCATCATCCTCCAGAGGCCATTGGACAGTCAGGCTTGGGCCCGCAGTGATGAAACTTGTTGGGCCTCACGGGATGGGGGTGGAGCCGAGCCTGTCCTCCCTACCCCAACGAGACCCCAAGTCATCACCCACAAACGGCCTCTCTGGCTCCTGATCAAGCTGCCCAATGGCCATGATCCCAGAGACTCAGGAGCAAATCTCGAAACCCGGTGGCTTTTGGCAGAAATCCCTCCAGATTTAAAAGGGTAAAGGTAAAGGCCCTCCCATTGATCGTCGATTTGCTCGAGCGGGCCCAGTAACGTCTCCATTGGAGACTTTGTTGTTACTGTGTTTGGCATATCGAATACTCTCAGTAGCTTGCCAGGCTCTCCGAGAGGGGCGGAGGAATCGAACTCGGGTCGGCCATGTTGGCCGCTTGTAAGGCGAACGCCCTACCGCTGTGGCTAGTCCGAAAGTAGTGAGTGGTCGCAAGGTCAACCTAAAGTCAACCCTCCAGATTTAAGTGTTAAAATTTCAGAATTTCAAAATCACATAGCACTGCTGCAGCCATGCGACATCATATGTTATTCATAACCAGCAACAGAACACAAATTGTGTACTGTTGCCTTTTCAGCAGATCTGAGTGTTGGGGTAAAATCTCAAATAATAATGGTGAGTCTGGTGTCAAAATATTGAATGTGCTCAAAGTAAAGAGAGTAATGTGGAAATCATCTGCCACACAGGTAGGGGGAGGGTGTGGAATGGGGGTGTACTGGGGTTTTTGGTGGTGGAGAATGGGCACTGGTGAAGGTACGGGTGTTTCATTGTATGACCGAGACTTAGACCCGAAAGCTTTGTAACTGCTCTCATGGCGATTCAATAAATAAAATGATAAAAAATGAAAAAAAAAAAGTAAGGTGGAGTTCATGCCCAATTCAATCAGCTAATCAGTGGCTGAATAAATAGCAGTACTCTTACATTGGGCTGGAGCAGTAGCACAGCTGTAGGGCGTTTGCCTTACAAGCGGCCAACATGGCCGTCCCGAGTTAGATTCCTCCGCCTCTCTCAGAGAGCCCAGCAAGCTACCGAGAGTATCTCGCCCGCACGGCAGAGCCTGGCAAGCTACCCGTGACGTATTCGATATGCCAAACACAGTAACAACAAATCTCATGATGGAGACGTTACTGGGCCTGCTTGAGCAAATCGATGAACAACGGGAGAACCGTGACCGTGACTCCTACATTAAAAAAAATGGGATTATTTTCTTAATTTTCCTCTTCTGTACTTGTTCGCACATACAGATGCAATAGGTCTGTTGCAATTATTGATTTTTATCCATATATGAAACTTATTATCTTATTTTTTCCTTTGGAGAACCTGGCAGGCTACCAGGGGTGTCCTACCCGCACAGCAGAGTCTGGCGAACTTCCCGTGTCGTACTCAATATGCCAAATGCCAGTAACAGTGATAGTTCTCATTCTCCTAATCCTGAAGGAGCATTGAAGTGGCTCTTTTAAAATCTCAGGGCTAGGACGAAGGAGACGTTACTGGTGCCTGCTCGAGGAAATCGACAAACAACAGGATGCTTGTGATCTTGTGTGATTAAACTTTATGATTATTTGCTTGACTGTTAGGTTCACTAATGTGTCCATAATTCCAGGAATAGTGCTGGGTACATAGTAAATACATAAATATTTGTTGCACAAGTGAATAAAATGTAGAGAAATTAAAAGGCAAGAAACAGTTCGGTAAGAATTAATTACTTGATCTTATTTGGAATTTTAAATGTAGCTTAGTCTAAGAATTCCTGTCACCTGAGTAAAAACTAAGTACCAACATCAACATATTAATTGGTAATATGTTGTGTGATAAACTCTTGTGTAGTATCTTTTTAATAAACACCTGTACTGTTCTAATGTTTTTTAAGACTCAGCATTTTTAATAATTATTTTTATAGTAGTATGATTTTGAATTTTAGTCTAACAGATTAATCCTTTCCTAGAGACCATTAAGAATTAGATGGAAACTAGGTCAAGGTTGTTGTCTATATGTCTGAGTCATGCTGAGTATAAGAAAAATGTGAAACCTTAGAGCTTTTTTTTTCCCTTTGTGCTTTATTTTACCGCTTGAGCTTTCTTTTTCAAATTATACATTTTTAAATTTCTTGACTTAAAAAAATCATTGTATGACTGAAATTCAGTAATTTAAGATTGTGTACCCTCTTTCAAATTATTATTAGATTGCAAGAGTGGAGAAAGATAAAGAAGAACTGCATAACCAGCTATTAAGTATTGATCCCTCAAGAGAAAGCAAACGAATACAGCAACTTGTTCAAGACAAACTCCATTTGTGTCAGAAATTAAAAAGTTTAGAGGAAGAAGTAGCCGAATTAAGGGCTGAAAAAGAGAATTCTGGGGCTCAGGTAGAAAGTGTTCAAAGAATTCAGGTGCGGCAGTTGGCAGAGATGCAAGCTACAATCAGATCCCTGGAGGTAAGTTTTTAATTGCTTCCCAGTAGACTATGTATACTCTTTTTTTTTTTTTTCAAAGTGCGGTTGACAAGTCTTTGGTTTTCAGGGCATAAATGTACACTCAACATTCTAATGCTGAGGCATTTGTGTAATCCCAAGAGTATTTCTTCTTTTTTGTAAAGAAGAAAGCATTGATCTTATAAGCAATAACTATACTACCACATTTACGAAGAGAATGTTTATTCTTTGTGAATCAAGTTACCAATCTCAAGTGATGTAACTCTTACAATGCCACAAGTAGAACGTCCAAGATTAAAAAATATTTGAATTTTCAAAGACTAAAGTTGCCACAAGCCATTAAAATTTTTTTCCTAAATAGTTTTCTTTACCTTAGGATTCAAGATCTTAAAATTGTAAGGTTTTTTTTTTAAACAAAAATACCATAATTGTATATCTTATGATAACTTTTTGCCAAAATAATAAAATCCAAGTCATCTAATGTATTCAGCTGTACTGAATTTTCTCAGTTTATTAGAGAAAGATAAAAAATAGTAGAACCAAGAAAAGATGAAGTCATGAAATTTACATACAAGTGGTATTACATGGAAAGTATAATGTTAATTGAAATGAGTCAGAAAGAGAGGGACAGACATAGAAAGATTGCATTCATCTGGGGAATATTAAGTAACAAAATAGGAGACTAACATCCCAGAATAGTCAAGATAAATACCAGGAGGTTCAATACATGGCTTGAAGGTCAGCCGCACATGCTAGGGGAAAAGGCAGCTCAGATAGCGAAGGGAACACCAAGTAAAGGGTGTTGGGAGGATTCTCCCCCGGATGGGAGATACATGCTGAAAGTAGACTATAGACCGAACATGATTGCCACTCAATGCCTCTTTTGCAAACCTCAGCACCCAAAAGGAGAGACAGAACAAAAGGGAATGTCCTGCCACAGAGACGGGATGGGATGGGAGGGATGGGGGGGTGGGAGGGATACTGGGATCATTGGTGGTGGAAAATGGACACTGGTGGAGGGATGGGTATTTCATCATTGTATAACTGAAACCCAAGCACAAAAACTTGTAAGTCCACAAACACCAGTACCTCATGGTGTTTCACTAATAAAAATTTAAAAAAAAAAATAGTAGAACCAAGCTGGCACTCCTAGTCTGTTCTTTTAGTAAAATACTTGAGCAGTAACTATTTTTATTTTTGTTGTAATGGGGATCAAACTCAGGACCTCACACATATAAGACAGGTGTTCTGCTTGCTAAGCCACTTCCTCAACCCTAAAACTTTTCTTTCCCCCGCCCCCCTTTTTTTTCTGGCTTTGCTGGGGATAGAACCTAGTGCCTTACACATGTAAGGTGCGTCTGTATCCCAGAACCTTTACAGCTTGAGGTTTTTATTGCTGGGAAGGAAGATCTCTTCCTTTATCCTCTTAGATGAAGGGACTAGCAGTTATTGAACTGGTAATGATAGATAAGCAAAAGGAAGGTTCCCCCCCCTATATATATATATATATATATATATATATATATATATATACACACACACACACACACACACATAGATATACACTTATGTGTATATCTATGTATATACATACACATAGATAGATGATAGATAGATAGATAGATAGATAAGGGTTCATAGGAAAATATGACCTAAAGAGGCAGTTAAAGGAGTCAGAGCAAATAGTACAGAGACCTGCCTTGTCAACCCAGGTTTGATTTCTGCATCCAGTATGGTCCCCTGAGCTCTGCAGGAGTGACCCCTGAATTTGGGTCTCATACATCATCTTACTGTGGGAAGGAGAACTGTCATTTCTAGGAAAACAAATGACTTTTGGGAAAGATAAATGTCCCAATAGGAAATAGCTCAGAGCGATGGTATTTTTGTGAAAATATTGTATATGTTATAGATTAGGTATGTTAATAATCTGAGATAGGATATTTTTGTGAAAATGTTGTGCAGGTGATTTTTTATTTTTTTAATCCTGGTGCCATCGTCTTCTTTTCTTCCATGATAGGAATCGGTTGCCTTGGCTCTAACACTCCCAGGGAGATTTATGACACTTGACTCCTTTTTGGTGATTCTGCTTTTAAACAGATGTATTCAGGGGAAAAAATCTTTCCCTTTGATTGTTGATTTTTAGATACCTTTAGCTCAAACTAATTTTTTGTGGCTACAAAAACATATTTTTGACCTTTCCACCATTTTATTTAGATATGCTTACTATTCTTAGTTCTTATTGTCTGTCATTATAGCAAGTATACAGTTGTTTGACTGTTTTTATTTATTTTGTATAGTCCAAGGTGTTTTTTCCCCAGAATAGTTGTGAAATTATTTGGGTAAGAGGGGATTAGTAGGCATCTAGTTTGTAATTAATATCCAGTATTCAAATTGAAAATAAGTTATTTTTCTCTAGTCAGGAAATGGATAGTTTTTGAAGAGTAGAGGTCACTTAATTTCCTGATAAAGCTTTTGACAGTATTTGCTGGATTCCTGAACTAATATTATCAGAACCTTAGACATTCTGCAGTTGAGAATGAGATTATATTGCTATCTTTCTATTGTCAATGTATTTATAGTGACCTAATAAATGGGATGCTTGCTGCTAAATATAGTAAATGGTTCCAATGTAAAACTTCATCATAGTCATTTAAAGTGATTTTTTTTTTCTGGATCAGTTGAATGATGAAAAAGATGAGTGGTTCCTTTATGACATTTTCCAAAGACCCTATATTTGATTTTATCATTTGTCAGATAAGTTGAAAATAAACACCTAACAATGATCACTTTCTTTGTTGACTACTTGGGCTGTTATTGGACCCAGAGAGCCTCATTTTTTATTTCAGGAAAATGTTTTTTTGAATTAGGTCATTATCATATTTAAGATATATAAGTAAAGGCCCTCCCATTGATCATCGATTTGCTCGAGTGGGCCCAGTAACATCTCCATTGGAGACTTTGTTGTTACTGTGTTTGGCATATCGAATACGTCACGGGGAGCTTGCCAGGCTCTGCCGTGCAGGCGAGATACTCTCGGTAGCTTGCCGGATAGGAAAGGTGATTTACAAAACTGAAGCTTATCCTTTAAATGTAGGTGTCTTAATTAATTTGAATACACGTGACATTTAAAGTGTTTAGTTTTCTCTTCCAATATAAAGATACTATGAATAATACCAACTTGAATTTTCTTGACAACTTGAAGACTTCATTAAGAATATTAACTAGGGACATGGTCCCCTGAGTACCATTAGGAGGGACCTCCAACCACAAAGCCAGGAGTACCCTTTGAGTACTTCTGGATATGCCCTAATACCCTCCCTTCCCAGTCTATGAGGTCAAGAGCTATTGCATTCTTTGCTGATACTTCTAAAAACTCCAGATCAATTTAAGATTTTGGATATATATATGTATATATATATATGTGTATGTATATATATATAAATATATATATATATATATAGGCTGGAGCCATAGCACAGCAGGTAGGGCATTTGCCTTGCACGCAGCCAACATGGCCGACCCGAGTTTGATTCCTCCGCCCGCCCCTCTCGGAGAGCCTGGCAAGCTACCTAGAGTATCTTGCCCGCAAGGCAGAGCCTGGCAAGCTACCCGTGACGTATTTGGTATGCCAAACACAGTAACAACAAGTCTCGCAATTTGTTGTGAGATGTTACTGGTGCCCACTTGAGCAAATAGATGAACAACGGGAGGACAGTGGACATATATATATATATATATATATATATATATATATATGTATATATATCTCTGCATTTATTTTAGGTTTTTAGTTGTCTTTTTTTTACCATAAATGAATCCAAACTTCTAATACTGCTTTTTTCATATCTGCTATGGACCATAAACCCCTCCAAAATGCTTGTTCAAATTGTATCAGCAATAAGAGTAAGTATCAAGTGAGCTATTAGTACTGTCTTTAGTAAGAGAGGTATAGATATTTCTTTTTGGTGACTGTTGGTATGTTTGTCCAGATACCTTTTTATAGTATTTCCTGACCAAATACCTCTTATTTTAATAATTAGTTTGATAAAACCCTTGCTACTTTGGTACCTGTTAATATTGTTGAAGTTGAATGATTAGGTAGTATAATTATATAAACATATTTTAAATTGTTGTTATTTTAATGTGAAATTTATGTGGAAATTTTAAAATATTCTGTTTTAATAAAAGGCTGAGAAGCAGTCTGCTAAACTACAGACTGAACACTTGGAAAAAGAGCTACAATCAAGCAATGAACAAAATACTATTTTAATCACTAAAGTGCATAAAGCTGAACGAGAAATAAATACATTAACTAGTAAAGTAAGTTTACTTATGTTTCTTTTTTAAAAATTGCTTAATATCATAGAATGACAAAGTATTTTGCATTTAAATAGTTTAGCTTCTCTGTATTGAATCTTTTATAGCCTGTCATTTTACCGTCCAGATACTTGCAGAATCTAATCAATTTTTACCACTTCTATTGTGACCACTAGTCCAAGCTCTAATTGCTCTAGGCTGGATTTTCTCAATAACATTCTAATTGGTTCTTCACTTTCTGCTTAATTCAGAACTTCCTTGTGATCTGGTTTCTGCAATCTTTCTACAGCCATATTAATCATGGATCATTTTTCCTTCTCTTCTTGCTTCAGCCTTACTGGCCTGTTTTCTACATCAGGACCTTTTCCTGCATGACATGGTTTGCATTCACATTATGTTTTTACACCTTTTTCTCACCTTATCAGAGTGATCTTTGCCTTTGTAAAATACTAGTTCCCTTTTCTCTGCCTTAATTTTCTTAGTAGTTTTATAATTTTCTTAATAACTCCTTAACACCATGTGAGATATATATATATCTATATATCATGTGATAATATGATATATAGGTTATATATATAAAATAAATATATTCTATGTTATGTATTTATATATATTGTATATACATTTTAAATACACACATATACATACATAGATAGAGAGAGAGAAAGTGAGAGAGTGTTTGGGTTTGTGCCCAGAATTGAACCCAGGGCATCATATATGCATGGCAAATGCTCTACCATTGAACTGTATCCCCAGCCAGTTTACTTTGCTTCTCTTTTTTCTTACTATTCTCTCTCCCTAGGCTGGAGTAATAGCACAGCAGGTAGGGCATTTGTCTTGCACACAGCCAGGCAAGCTACCGAGAATATTCTGCCTGCATGGCAGAGCCAGGCAAGCTACTCATAGCATATTCGATATGCCAAAAACTGTAACAACAAGTCTCACAATGGACAAGTTACTGGTGCCCGCTCTAGCAAATCACTGAACAACGGGAGGACAGTGCTACAGTGCTATTCTCTTTCTCTGGACCAAGTGTAACTTCCAAGGAAGCGAAAGTATTCCTTTCATTACTATGTAGGGTCTTCAGCTACTGGAACAGTCCCAGTACACAGTAGATATCTAATAAATGTTTATTAAGTAAGTAATAGCATGTTAAGCTTTTGTTGTTTTAAAGGAGTATAATAATTGAACATCTTTTTAGTTTGTCTTAGGAACTTATAGTTTCCACACCCCACTCCCTAACATACAGTATATTTAAGGAATCTAGTAAGCAATATCAAAATATCAGTAATATAAGTATTTATGGAATACTGTAGTGAATAGCGATATCAACCCTGGACTCAGGCAAACTGGATTTATATTGTTTCTTCCATCTACTAGCAATGTGTCTTTGGGCAGTTTACTTTCCCTCTTAAAACTTTCTGTCTTCCTAAATAAAACAAGATTAATACCTGCCATTAAAAAATTGCAGTGATGATTACAGAGATACTATACATAAGGTATAAAGTATCTAGTTAATATTTAGGTTAACTACTGTATTATTTTTTATAATAACCTAAATATTAACTAATAAAATATGAATAATATTATAATATATAATATTATACTTGAGGCATTTTTAAGAACTTGGAAATAAACTGGTTTCTGGATCAATGAATTCAGTGTGCTTTCTAGTAAATCAGAATGTATAAGACTACCTTAAATCAGGGCCAGAGTGATATACAGCAGGTAGAGCACGTGTCCTGCTTGTGATCAACCCCAGTCCTTTTCCCAGCACCTCATATGATTCCCCGAGCAACATCAGAAGTAATTCCTGAGTGCAGAGCAAGGAGTAATCCCTGAGCATTGCTGGGTATGGCCCCCGAACAAAAACAAAACAAAAGAAAGCAAAAAAATCATTCTCAGACCTAGTGGAAGTTATTGTAACCTTGTTAAGATATATGAACTTATCTAAAGAAATAATGCACGCATCATAAATTCCCGCTGTACGAGCGATAGCACAGCGGTAGGGCATTCGCCTTACAAGCAGCCAACATGGCCAACCCGAGTTCGATTCCTCCGCCCCTCTCGGAGAGCCCGGCAAGCTACCGAGAGTATTCGATATGCCAAACACAGTAACAACAAAGTCTCCAATGGAGACGTTACTGGGCCCGCTCGAGCAAATCGACGATCAACGGGAGGGCCTTTTACCTTTACTATAAATTCCCAGAATGGGCTGGAGCAATAGCACAGTAGGTAGGGCGTTTGCCTTGCACGCGGCCAACCCGGGTTCAATTCCCAGCATCCCATATGGTCCCCTGAGCACCAGGGGTAATTCCTGAGTGCAGAGCCAGGAGTAACCCCTGTGCATTGCTGGGTATGACCCAAAAAGCAAAATAAAAAAATAAATAAATTCCCAGAACAAGGAATTACCTGAAAAGACTCAAAAAAAGGACTGGTCTTATTTAAAAGGTCATTTCTGCTTTGGAAAGGAATACACGCTCTGTTTTAATCTGTGACCATGTATAATCAATTTCTTTCATTGAATTTGTTCTGATTCCATGATCCCCGATTTTCTTTGAATTTTTATCTAATTGTCTGCGGTTAGATGCACTGGTCCTTTAGATTTAAGTACTCTAGTTCCTACTATAGTTTTTCAAATTAATGAACTTGTATTCTGATTTTATAGATTATTCTTTGCAAACTTTATTAATGGGCATCTAAGTTTGAGGATTTTCCTTAAATATGATGACCAAACTGTATTCCTGTGCCTGAAAGGCTAAAGTCATAATATTAAGGGTATTAATACAGTCCCTTTGGAAGATAGTGTACTCAGTTTTTTCCATGACAAACACATTCTCCTTTGCAGATTATACATGTAGTGACAGTTAACTTTTTGTTTGAACTTTTACTAAAATTTTATAGCTTAAAAAAAGTGTCTTTAATTAGATATGGCTCATACTAGAAAGATTAAGTAAAAATTAGACAAGAGTTAATTGTTAAAATATTTTAAAGTATACTATTTTAATATAGTTTATGGATTGAAGATTAGCTATATTTAGAAAATTTAGAAAAGATAATAAAGAACAATAGAAAAGTTCTTCAGTTTTTAAAAACAGATGAATTTATCTTTTTTTTTTCCCTTTATTTTATTTTATTTTTTTTAAAGTTGTAGATTTACAATTTTTTGTGCTTTGGTTTCAATCATACAATGATCAGATACCCATCCCTCCACCAGTGCCCATCTTCCACCACCATGGATAATATCCCTCCCACCCCCATCCCCCCATCCCCCCATCCCCCCTGTCTCTGTGGCAGGGCAATCCCCTGTGTTCTCTCTCTCCTTTTGGGTGTTGTGGTCTGCAAAAGAGGCATTGGGTGGCAAACATGTTCAGTCCATAGTCTACTTTCGACATGCATCTCCCCTCCTGGGAGGAACCTCCAAACATCCTTTATTTGGTGCTCCCTTCTCTATCTGAACTGCCCTTTCCTCTAGGATACCCGGCTGGCCTCTAAGTTATGGAGTAATCCTCCTGGTGCTGATCTCAGCTATTCTTGGGTATTAATCTCATACTTTGTTACTTTATATCCCCCAGATGAATGCAATCTTTCTATGTCTATCCCTCTCTTTCTGACTCATTTCGCTTAGCATGATACTTTCCATATTGTACCACTTGTATGTAAATTTCATGACTTCATCTTTTCTAAGAGCTACATAGTACTCCATTGTGTAGATGTACCAAAGTTTCTTTAACCAGTCATCTGTTCTTGGGCATTCAGGTTTCTTCCAGTTTCTGGCTATTGTAAAGAGTGCTGCAATGAACAAACAAGTGCAGATGTCACTTCGACTATACATTTTTGCCTCTCTGGGATATATTCCCAGTAGTGGTATTGCTGGGTCAAATGGGAGCTCAATTTCTAATTTTTTGAGAATCGTCCATACTGAAAAACAGATGAATTTATCTTGACTCTTCACTTAATCATCTTACAGTTTGTGACTTCTAATTTATCTAACTTTTAAATGAGAATAGTACTTATCTCTTACATACTTTTTGATTAAAGTAATGTGGGTTACAATAAATAGCAATCACTGAAGAAAATGACAATTGCAATTTTATACTAATATTTTTAAATGAAAAATATTGTGATAGAAAATAGAGTTTTGATCCCATTGACTAGTTCTGTTCTTCACTATATTCATTACTGTGTTTAAAGGTTAGGGCAAGATGGCACCAGAGAGGTGCTGCAGGTAGTGTGCATGCCTTGGACAAACATGATCCTGGTTCTCCAAGTCTGCCAAGAGTGATCTCTGAACTCAAAGCCAGGAATAAGCCCTGAGCTCCTCCTGCAGTGGCACAAAAAGCCAAACCTCTTCCACTCCCATCCACTCCCGCAAAAAAAAAAAAAAAAAAAGTTTAAGCAGGTTAAAAACACTGATATCCAATGAGACAATATTCTAATTCAGTGTTTCTCAACCAGGGTCCTGTGGGCTCCTAGGATATTCCAAGAGAGCCACAAGTGGAAAAAAAATCACATAAATGGGATGGGCCTGGGGTGGGGGGGTGGGAGGTGGGGATGGTGCAAGACTAGGGGTCAACCAGTAGGACTGGGCCACAGGAAGAAAACAAGGTTAGAAAGGGCACGGTAAGGAAAAAGCTTGATAAACACTATTCTATCTATCCACAGAAAATTTCTAGCCTCTTAATAATGTGTAAATGCTACTAGAAAATATATTTGTAATTTGATGGCTTTTTTAATAACTAAGTTGACTATATATTTATCATGTCATTGATGTCCATGGTGATAGAGCATAAAAGAGAAAATGATACAAAACAAAGTAAATTGGTATAACATGGAGTATTCTCATGCTCTTTTCTTTCAATTTTGGTATAAATTATTTTCAGTCTTGTGAAAAAAATTACAAATACTCAATATTTTTATTCAAAACATTGTTCTGTGCTTGTGTAGTCAGACGAGACTGTGGGAATAAGCTGCACCATGTGTGGAGCAATGGACTTTGCATA